AAGTTTGTGAAATTGGAATGTTGGACTCAAGATTCAACTAGAATTTGTGAAGATTAAAGCTCTTAGGTGAGTAAATTCATGAGTTTGAGCTTGTGATTTTGTGAATTCAAGACTAAATGGTGATCAAGAACATGAATTGAATTGATTATGATGAAAATGAGTTGGTTTTGATAAATTGGAAGTCAATACACACATGCATGTAGGAAATTGCCATGGATTTGTATGTTTGAGCTTGAAAGACATGATCCATGTTGAATCTTTGATTGAAGTTCATGCTTTTGATCATCTCTTCATCATTTAAATTGAGAATGAGAGCTATATCTCACATGCATGTACAATTCATAAGAGTATGAGTTTTGAATACATGAAATTGTTATGTTGGAAATGAGCTTGGTGTAATTTGGGACATGCATATGATTAATTCATGAAATTGAGCTTCATAATGTAATGAATTTGGTGTTGGATCATGTTAGTAAATGTATATGTGAATTTTGAGTCATTATATGCAAGATATGTTGATTTGAATGCAAGTTTGAAGCTTAAGAACAGTTTTGGAAAACCCCAGTTTCAGAAATTTTGTAAAAATGTTCTGTGTTTCGTTTTCCATTCTCTTTTACTTCTAAGTACTCTTAGGCATGCATTAAGCATTATGAATGAATAAAAAGGGTAAGAAAGAAGCCTAAGAGGGATGTATGAATTAAGAACGGATTGAATCGTTTGTAACCCGTATGTGTTATGTAATGTGTAGGGTCAAGCTTAAGGGTGAATCCACCAGCAAAGCACTGTGAGTAATATCTTAATAAAGATATTTTGAAATATGTTATTTGTCCAATTACTTATTCCTTTATACGATTTATAAGTTTGTTGATTTGAATTGTGGACAAATGTTTGCTATGCCATATGGTTAAGCCTAAAGTCGTTTGCTATGAATGAATGGGTCAAAGGCCATCTGACATGAATGATAGTCTGACTCGAATGATAGTCTGACATGAATGATAGTCTGACTCGAATAATAGTCTGACATGAATGATAGTCTGACTCAAATGATAGTCTGACATGGATGATAGTCTAACTCGAATGATAGTCTGATATGAATGAATGGGTCAGAGGCCGTTAGATATGAATGAATGGGCCAATGAATGGGCTGGAGGCTGTATGACATGAATGAATGGGCCAGAGGCCGTATGACACGAATGAATGGGCCAGAGGCCGTATGACACGAAAGAATGGGCCAGAGGCCGTATGATACAAATGATTGGGCTAAAGGTCGTCGGACATGAACGAATTGGGCCCAAGGCCGTTTGATGTGTTTGGAATCGCAGTCACTTGACCTATATATTTATATATATATATATGTCTGATAGAAATATGAATTGGGCCCAAGGCCGTTTAGTGTATATTGTTCTAAGTACCGTTCGTGTAACTTCTTTATTTGACATTATTCATTGGACTTTCGCTCACGCTCATTCATGTGTCTATAGGTGAGCCAAGGGAGGTCCAAACCCAGCCTCAGTGAAGTTTGTGTGGAACAACCAAGGTTTTGAAGAGTCAGCCCATACGTCTCACGCACGAGACTCGTCTTCGCCCTTTTGCTATTATGTTATATTTTGTCATGTTGGCGAGGACTTTGGATTACGATTGTATATAGTTTTGATTGGCTGACCTAGACTTGAATGATCCTGCATGTACAGAACTTTGTGTTAGTACATATTTTGATGTGAGTTATTAGCATGTATATGTATGGATTGTTATGACGTGCCATATAAGCACAGCTCTATAGACAAAAGTTTAAAATTGCTTCCATTTGCCCCCCTTAACTGTGTTAAAATATATCTGATTTGGTTCAAGGCCGTAGGTAATCTCGTGATTACTAGCCGGTTATGTCCTTAACCCATGGGGGCGGGTTCGGGTCAAGACATGTATGTTGTGCACATCACATAGTAATTCTAGGTTAATAACCGGAATAAGAACACATTTGTTTTCAAAAATAACATATCATGCTTAGTAAAGACTGATCTTTTGATCGGGCAAGCGGAGGTGCTCATTGCATGACCTTCCCTTCTCGTACCCAAGTTCCCGAGTCGAACCAACTTTGGTAATGACGGACACGTGGCCTTAGGCACGAGTCAAGGTTTCCTAAATTTTTCAAAAACAAAACATTTAGGTGGCGACTCTGTATCTAGCAAAGCAGTCCATGTTTGACACTTCTTTATTAAAATCGATTTTCCAAAACGATTTGCCGGATTTAGACTCTTTGGTGATTTATCAGTCTTGCATTGCACTTTGCGAGATTAGATTCAGAACCATGACATGAGTCCGAACTGTAGAGTTAAGAACAAAACGATTCGCGCCCCTCGCGCGCGGAGAGCAGAGTTCCGGGCGGTCTACACCTAGTACATTCACTCATCTCATATTTATATTAGTTGAAGAACTTTCTAGAATACACTCATCATTACTTTCCATACACTCTAAAACAATTTAGATTACTCTAGTATATATTAGGACTTTTTATACTTCTCTAAAATATTCTAAAACCTTCCGAAACTTTCTAGATTTCTTTAGTTTTCTCAAAACTTCTTTAATATTTCAAAACCTTTTAGGATATTTTAGAATTTTCCAGATTTCTCTAGGTTTTTCCAAAATCTTTTAGATTTTTCAAGACATTCTAGATTCATGTGAAAATTTCTAAAATATTCTAGAGATAAAATTCTAGAGAGTGAGGAGAGTTAGCAACGACTCTCAACACTACTAACTTAATGGTAAAAAAAAAAGCCAATGGCTTGTTTTGTAACACTCGGCAAGGACGTGAATTCAAACAACTATCCAATATACGGTCCATAGCCCATTCAGTTACTAATCATCATCAACAATAAACTGAAGTTTACCTAGCTTTTAACACACACACACAGTAATTCCCTAAAGATTCCAGAACTACTTTTGTCAAGTCTTCAAATGGTTGAATTTGATGATGAAATTTGTTTGATGGAAATGGTTTTGGGACAGTTATTTTTGAAAAAAATTTGGGAGAGTTGTTTTAGAAATTTTTTTGGTTTGTTTGGTTGTATATTTTGAAAGTAGTTTTAAAATTTAAGAATTTGAAATAATTTGATATTTTGTTGTAATTGAGTAGATGTGTGTGAGAGAAAAAGTGATAGATTGATGTATAAGAGAGAGAAAGTGATTTTGAAAATTTTTTGAGAAAAATCTCAAACCAAACAATTTTTTGAAATTTTTTTTCTAAAACTCATCTCTAAAACTCAAACCAAACATACCCAGAATCTTACATCTTTAAAATTCATGATACTTTTCTAGTTTAAAATTGAATTGGAGTGTATAGTTAGGTTCTGTGGGTCTATTATAAAGCTTACATTGACAATTCGAATCATTTAATATATAAAACTTATCGAATATTTTATTCTTACAAAAAATTACATTGATCTGATATCGATAGTGACTTGATCAGATCAAATTTATGTCAACGATCATTTTAATTTTAAAAATAAATTATTAACACATATATTATCATCTTTGAGAAAGTGCACAAGTTGAATTATGTTGAAAATTTATAAAATTTTAAACCGCCAAACTGATTTGCATCAATCCGCCAATCCGCTAAATCCACATCCGCCGGATTGGCGGACGGATGCAGATTGATTTTTTCCAATCCGCCAATCTGGCTAACGGATAGCGGATTGCAGGTTCCGTGGCCGTAACCGACCTGCGCCCACCCCTAGTTGGTGACGATAAGGGTTTGAAAAATTATTTTTTTTAGATTTTAAGTTGGAATCTCCTAATCATTAAATGTATATTTTGGGGCCGTAAATCACAGGATATATTCTCTCTGTCTCAAAATAATAGTCTTTTTTAAGGAATCTAATTTTTTTTAGTAGTACAATTATTACATTTGAAAAAAGTTGATTTTCTAAAATTATCCTTTTAATAATACATTTTTTGAGAATATCAATGTCATTATTGTACTTTTTATATTATTTATTAATTTAAAAGAATGACAAAATAAGAAATTTATATTATTTTTGTACTTGATTTTTAAAAATAGACTAATATTTTGGGACAATAAAAAATAGAATAAGGGACTAATATTTTGGAACGGAGGGAGTAATTAATATATTAACTAAAGGGTAATTTGAAATAATCTAAATAAATGTATTTTTTTACTTTTTATGAAATATAGATTGGATTTGAAGTGATGTGATAGAGAAATGATGTAACTTAAATAGGATGATGTGATTAAATAAAATAATGACTTTTTGACTTTTTTAAATTATGACAAATAAGACATAAGTATATCAATTATTATATTATTATTAATCTCATTTATTATACAAATTATAAATATTAAAAATATATTTAATTATGTTATAATATCATCTAGTATACTGATTGATGAATATAATTTTAAGAGTTGTTTAGGGTGTCCTAAATAAGTATATTTTTTGTCTTTTTAAACTAAAAAGTTGAGATTGAAAATATGAATGTTTGGATTAACTTTTTGACTTTTTATAAAAAAATGTGTAATAAAAAATTATAAAAATTAGTTTGTAAAGAAAAATTAAAATTAAAAATTATGCAGTCATAATTATTAATTTTTAATAAATAATAATAACCTTTTAACTTTTTGAATAAGTTTTTGATTTTTAAATATTAAAAATATATTAAATTATGTTATATTATCATCTAAGTATACTGATTGATGAATATAATTTTAGAGTAAGGATCCTCTAGAGTTTTTTTTTCCTAAAGTTTTTTAGAGTGATGTGTTGCATGGTTGAGATTTAATGATAAGTGACATCAATTTTTTAGTATTAAATCTCACCCATACAACACACCACTTTAGAAAACTTTAGGAGAAAAAAAACTCTAGAAGATCATTAGTGATAATTTTAGTCCTAATCCCCTCCTACCACTCCATCCTCTATGTGGAAACCGCGACACGTGTCAAAAGTCACAATAAATACTGTTTGGTGAACCCCCTTCCTTAATTACTAGTAGGTTCCATTTTTTCGCCTTTTTATACCCGTTTCTTTGACAATCGAAGCATCGCAATTAAAGGGTTTTCCACAGATTCGTACTGGGTTTGATCAACAATGGCGGATTTCAAACCATGCACAGTCCTTGTTACCGGTGCTGGCGGTAGAACAGGTACCCACTTTTGTTTTCTGTACCCTTTGTTGAATTGGTTGTGCTTTGTGTATGTGTATATCTATGTGTATTTGTGTTTTGATGTGTTTCTTTATGTGGGTTTCTTGCGATTATTTGGTGGAGGTGTGTTAAATCAATTTCTGGATTGAATAAATTTTATTGTTGGCAAAATGGATCTACTGATAGAAACTTTGATTGAACAGCTTTAAATTTTAATATTGCATAGAAGAAGATGAATTTAGTTAGGCCTCTTCACATTATGCTCACTAACGAGTTGGGGATTTCCATCCAAGTTTATAAACCTAGTTAGATCTTGAATGTTCAAAGGGTGTTGAATTGATGTATAATAACATAACCAGTGTGAAAAAGACCCAAATTTGATGGTTAGGTCCTCTCACCTGAGATGATGATCCCTTTTGTGATTTCCACATTAGGATGGATCCGCAGTGCTTTACATTTCCCCTACCTTTCCATTGAGTTGAAACTCAAATGCAAGGTAATTTCTAGTACCAAAGTTTTAGTGGCCTAATCAATGTACCGAAAGCACTGGAACTGGAGGATGCATTAGATTAACCGCTTTTGACTTCACGGGTTGTTGTAGCCATGGCAACTTATGGGTAATGGAAATACAATTGCTGGAGCTATTTAATTGCTCCCGCATTGAATTTGAACATTTTGTAAAAATTGCATGTAGGAACTTGTTGAAGCAACAAAGAATGCTTGGCTACAGCCCACAGAGCAGACCAATATTGTATTAGATGGTTAAATATGGTGTGTAGTTCAATGAATGATTATGATAATATGATATAGAATGTGACTAGAAGTACCACATGGACTGATGTGGTGCTAGAATCAGTGTGTTGTATTTTTAGGAACCTATTAGAAGGCAACGATGTTTAGTTTTCTTACGCTGTGTTTGGTTGGGGGATTTGGGGAGAGCTTTGGAAAGGGAAAAGGAAAAGGTGTGTGAAATTATGTGAAATATAGATATGTTTTATTCTCATTTCACCTACCTTTTCCATTTCCCTTTCCAAATCCCTCCTCAAATCCCCCAACTAAACACAGCATTAGTGTTTATCAATTTGTTTAAAAGGTGCATGTTACTAGCTTTTTAATAGTAAAATCAGGCTAAAGCCACCTTGCCCTTTGTTTCTCTGCTACAAAGAAAAGAATTTTTAATTTTTTTCCCCGCTTCCTGATTTCGTTGTATGTTGCTTGATTCTGGCAGGACAAATTGTTTATAAGAGGTTGAAGGAGAGGACAGACCAGTATGATACTAGAGGTTTGGTTAGAAGAGAGGAGAGCAAGGAGAAAATTGGTGGCGCAGATGATGTTTTTGTTGGGGATGTAAGGGATGTAGAGAGCATAATTCCTGCAATCCAAGGTATCGATTCCCTCATAATTCTCACGAGTGCTGCGCCAAAAATGAAGCCTGGGTTTGATTTAGGTAAAGGTGGAAGGCCTGAGTTTTACTTTGAAGATGGTTTATATCCTGAACAGGTGACCTTTTATGTTTTATTTTAGTATCCTGAGTCATTACTTTATCGTCTAACTTTTGAATCCCGAGTCTTTTTCCTTATGCTGATTGAATATGTTTACATATTAGGTTGACTGGATTGGGCAGAAGAATCAAATAGATGCTGGTGGGGTTTTTTTTTTAAAATTTTTTTTACACCATTTCAATTCATATAATGTTTCCAGGTTATTGTTTTATTTTGGCATGTATTGTATTGCATCACGTGGTCCATATGTACAGCTAAAGCTGCAGGGGTGAAGCACATTGTGCTTGTTGGGTCAATGGGAGGAACAAATCCTAATCACCCCTTAAACAGCTTAGGGAATGGGAATATTTTGGTTTGTACATTTCTCTCTCTTCATAAACTATTTCTTTTTCTTTTTCTTTTTCTTTTTCTTTTTCTTTTTCTTTTTCTTTTTTTCTTTTTTCTTTTTTTTTTTTTTTTTTGGCCTTTTTGTTTCATCAGTTTCATCGATTTTGTGTCTCATCCTGATATACAATGAGGCGCTTTCTTTGGGCCTTGATGAGGCTAGGGATTTTTTAGGCCTATGTATGCCTTTAACAACTCTATTTCTGCCATGTGCAGGTTTGGAAGAGAAAGGCTGAACAGTATCTGGCTGACTCTGGAGTTCCATACACAATTATAAGGTACATCCATTCCCTTTTACTTTTATCTTCATCATAACTGATATTTATTCATTTATTTAATGTATAATAGAATCAATACGAAATAGAGGATAAGTTGTTTTTGTGGAATTCAGATAACATTTTAAATGCACTTGTTAATCAGAAGTTGGAGTATGCTACTTATTATAGTAACATGGTTTTGAACTATTTTACGATAGTCACCACCACGAGTTAGTCCTGATTGTTACATCAACTTCATGAAATCCCATGTTATCTATGAGAATATCTGCTAAACTAGGTTGATTCTGGAGTAAACACAATCTTGACATTCATTTGTCTTCTCAAACTCAAAACTCTTTTTTTTTTAATTTTATTTTAAAAAAGCAAAATAGCAAAGCGATACCATTACAAAAATTCTGACATTTTAACTGATACCAAATATACAGGGCTGGAGGCTTGCAGGACAAAGAAGGTGGTATTCGAGAATTACTTGTTGGAAAGGACGATGAGCTCCTTAATACAGAAACAAAGACCGTTACTAGGGATGATGTTGCGGAAGTCTCGATTCAGGTATTTATTATAGGAAAATGATATGCTTACAAAATTTTTATGCAGAATTTACGACAAGAATGATGTGGCAGTGGCCTTATTGAAAATATAAGTCATCTTTGTGAGTCTTTTATTTTAAAGTGATAAAATCAAAACTCATCACATCCTTATGTAGGGAACTTCTATTTACACATCCACCTTTCCCTCTTTGCACACACTTCATAAAAATTATTTTTATTATAAATTTTTTTTTTCAGGTGAAATTACTATTATAGACATCAAATAAACCCATTCGGAAGTTGATTGTCGAAAAAATAATAAAAATTCGGAAGTCTACTTCCGAACCAATTGTTTATTTTCGGAAAGCTACTTCCGAACCAATTGCTTATTTTCGGAAATCTACTTTCGAACCAATTATTTATTGAAAAAGATGTGTAAAGAGGGGAATGGGTGTGTGTAAATAGAAGCTCCCCCTTATGTATATTTATTTTGTCTGTGCTTGAAGAAAGCATACACCTCATTTGTTCTTTTGTGCACATGTATGATTTTGACTGTGTAGCATATCATAATATATAATTGCTTTTGTGAACAGGCACTACAGTTTGAGGAGGCCAAATTTAAGGCATTTGACCTGGCCTCAAAGCCCGAGAGAGTTGGCACTCCAACAAAGGATTTCAAGGCTCTGTTTTCCCAGATCACTACTCAGTTTTGATATACAACATTCATAGCTCTATTTATTTGGAAATATGTTATCCAATTTCAGATTGTGACTCTGGTTTTTGATCTAGAAAAGGAATAAGTGGAACGAGAATGTTAACCAGTTGCGAATGGATTTTCAGGAGCTTTTGTATGACATTAAACAACTATCAATTGACAAATAAGTTTCCCCCAGAATTTCTCTATGCAAATCAAATAAGTTTTGTAATTGCATGGCATTCTAAACAAATAATATGCTTCTGTTAAAGCTTGAGGTAAAATTGTAATGTATATATATATATATATATATTGTACGGGAAAGAAATAAACCTTCTCGTATAATCCTGTTGACCAAGTCTACTCTTCTCCGTACGTCGTCGCTTTATCACCTGAAAACACAAACGTGAGCTAGCCAGCGAGTGTGTGCCGGAAACCTCTCCGATGCCTAAGTCAGTAAACTTGACAAATAGACAAAAGTTCTGTGTATTCAGAAAGCAAAGTTGTGTGTTACCTCTCCAAAGGTGATGTTGTAAGCTTTTATAGGTTTCGTGTGGCATAATCCTAGTAGGATTCCTACTCCTCCATACAGAGTCCTCCTAGGATTCATACTCCTGAAAGATAATGCTTATCCTTCAACACCCCCCTCACTGCTTAAACCAAGTGAGATGGTTATTACCATGGTCGAACTCCCACATGACCGAAGTAATCATGGCTATGCTGAGCCACAGAGTAAGCCGTACTATCCTTAGTTCGGTTCTTCCTTTTTCTCTTTATCTCGGTTCTCTTATGTACAAACCATGGTATGTTTAGACCGAGCTACCGAGTAGCAAGGTTCTGACCGTTCTAACCATAATACGCCATGACCGGACTAACTCTGAGACCGGCCTAACTCCTAGTTTCTTCCGGACCGAAGTAACTTTACATTCTTCGGCCGGAGTAATTTTGTACCTCTCTCGGGCCGGAGTAACTTTTACGGCCTTTTTACTCAGCCCTTCGTATTATGGGCCATAATGTCATCTCCCAGCTCGGCTCAATTTTTACAAAAATTACCCTCTCAATTGCCCCTTAATTCCATCTGTGCAGCATGATAGGGATTACCTGTCTATCAACCGGGCTGAAGTTTTTAAGCCTTTCCGGCCGAGCTAAAAACCCTTAGCCTTTCCAGCCGAGCTAAAACTTCTTAAGCCTTCCTGCCGAGCTAATTTTACACCGGGCTCTGCTTGTCCGGTCAATACGTCTCCTCAATCACAGCAATTGAATCGTTTCTCCTTCCTGGACACGTGGCACGCACTGATTGATTGAGGACGGCTGTCACGCTGTCTTCGTACTTCGTGAAATTTGAACAGTCCCGCCCTTTTTTTTTTCCTTTTACCTAAAACGAGTCTCATCATTTCAACACACTTTACAACTTCTCTCTCTCTGAGCCTCCATTGCTTGTTCATTTTCTAAGCTTGTGTTTTGCTGCCTTTTGCTTCCATCTTCAGTTTCTTGCGTCTTCTTCTGGTTAGTATTGCACCTTTACTTTGTTTTTATATATTGCTTTCTGTGCTCTGCTTTCTGTGTTTTTGCAAAACATTTTCTTCTATTTTGCTTTGCTCTGTACTCTTATGAAAAAAAAAAAAAAAAACTTAACCATAGAACATATGACTATATGAAATATCCTGTAGAAAACTGGTTTTTGATCCAAAATCATGTTGCAACTGAACTAGGATACTGTTTTAAGCTAAGTAAGTCTAGTTAGATCACAACCGAACTAACATTTGTGTTTACACCAGTAGCTTTGAATAAGTCAAAACTTCTTGATAGTCCTTAGCCGAGGTAACCAACTGAACTAGGTTTGCACTTAGCATACCGAGATACCTGAACTCCAACCGATCTAAGCCTTTGGGGCTAAACCAGCTTTCTTAGTTTTTTAGATGGAACTCAGAAAGCTGCCCCTAGGCAATCAATCGGTCAAACAGAACCGTTTCCTCAACCGAGTTATCTTAGACGCTTGCCGTGCCCGAACTAGCAAAGCCCTGCTCAAACCGAGCTACAAATCACCTTGCAGAAACCGAGTTAGAACTTGTAACATCCATAGCTCCTATTTTTTGTACTTTTATTTTGTAGCACAGTCTAATGATCTGTGCTTAACCCCTTTGTTTTCTACTTTGCAGACTTAGGTTGCCCAGGCACTCCTCTGCGTGCTCAACCGAGCTACTGAGACAATCTTGTGGACCGAACTTTAATTTATTCATAAATTATACAATAAATGGGGAAGTATAGGTATCTAGTAGACACTCCGGGCGGCTTAGCCGAATTCAGAAAAGACTACAATATACCTGATGACGTCCACCTGATTTTAGCCGAAAAAGATGTCATTCCTTGGGGCAATGAAGGCTTTGTCCCCTTCACCCTTTTATCCATAATTGAAATCGGACTACGATTTCCAGTCCAACCTTTAATTTGCGAGTTTCTTAGGCAAACTAGACTATGCCCTACCCAACTATCCACCAATTCATACCGAATAATAATGGGAATAGCCGCACTAACTTGCCAAGCCGGACTAAACCTTGGCTTGGCCGAAATCTTCCACCAATACTCCATAGGTTAATGGATGGTGTAATTTTTTTTTTACTATAATGGGAAAATTACAATACAGTGAGACAGAAAAAAATTACAAAAATATATGGAGTGCAAGTGATATTGTAATGGAGTATAAGTAAAAAGTTATGGGGATGCTAGTGTAACTTGCACTTCTCCATGTTTGTGTAAAAAAAAATTATCCTACTAAGATATAATTCCCCCTACAATAATTGAATAAAAAAAAAATCTACCTATAATCCAATTCCTTTATTACTGCAACATTTATTTGTAATTTTTCATATAAATAAAACTTTTTAAGGTTCTCAAATATTGGATGAGTTTTTTTGTTTAAAATTTCTGATATTAAGATTTTATAAAATAAAT